TTACAAAACACCTGTATTTACCAAAAACAAAACGAATTTATAGGTACCAATAAAATATGTCTTACAGCAACTGTTAAATGAAAGATTATTTGTCGTCTAATTGTTTGTCTAAATTAATAATTTGTATAGGTACTATTATATTATTGTTTGGCTATTACCTACTATTATTGTTTAATTGATGTAAACGATGTAGTATGACAATTTTAAATACTCCTGTAATTGAGTACATTTTATGAGTTTGAAAACATAAAAACTGTTTAGACAATATATACGCTATTTGTTTGAAATTAAAATCATTTCTATTATTTCTATATTAAGATATTATACACATCAGTAAGGTAAATTTTAGTTTTTATATAATTTGAAACGCATTTTGATTGTTTTCAAACAAAATAATTGTGTTTATCATTTTGATGGTATGATAATATAAAAACAGATTACCTACACCTGCACGATGGAAAAGTCTACAAAATATTTTTTCAAAACTTTTGACATCAAAATAAGAAACAAGTAATGTAGAGCTTGTTATAAATCAACATCGCTAGGAGGCCTGTAACCATTAACAACATCATAAATAAATAATATGTCATGCGTCAAGTAAGGTATTATAGGAACAACTGTTTTTGGTATTATACCCCACTATGACCACGTTTTTATAATAAATTAATTTCTGTTCGTAGAAATATGTATTTATTTTAGGTTCTGAGCACTTAAAACTTCGAAAAAAGCATTTTAATGCCAACTTAATACAAGATAATATTATGTTTATTTTAATTTCATGAAATTGAAATACTCACAAATCAGTTTTAATTTCTATGTTTATATTATCAACAATCAATGACCATTATTAGTAATCTTGGTGTGAGTGAACTTACCTGAAACAGAATAAATGCTAAATAAATAAAAGCAATAAAACACATTTATTAAATTATATATTTTAATCTATGTTTGTGTTTTATTTAAATTGCCGTTTCGATAATATTATTATTATTTAGTATAGTATATTATAATAAGAATATTTTTCTTATCGTCGTAAAATTTCTAAGTTATTAAACACTAATGATATATAAATTATATTTAAAATAAGCTATTTAAATTGGAATGACTTAATATTGATAGTAAATTTATGCATATAAAAATCATTTATAATATGTAATAGTGTAAATTGAGAAAACCTCATATTTTCTTCGTTGTCAGCTAAATGCGTGTTGGATGTTTGTAAAAATTATAAATATTAATTTTCCGCTACAAATTTTATATAATAACTACTAATTGTTGATTAAATATTATGAAATAACACCGAAAAGTACCATATTTTTTAATAACAACTGTGAAATACTTTCAATTACATATAATTTTATATAATATAAAGTTGTACGTGATTAAAACGAATTTGTATTAATATTAACCGTGGTTCATAAATTACACTGTTTCATATTATAATATATAATATTAAAATAATAGGGAATAATTATTTACATTTTTAAATGATATCTTCTATACTCTCATCCTCAAAAAAAAATAAATATAATTAATTATATAATTATCGATCGACATTCGACACTCGGCAGTATTTTATTTTTTGCGGCCGTGTCTTAAATGTCTAAATCTAGTAAAATATGGTTTTTGTATCGACTTTAACGTCCAACTAAAACTTGTCTACTATATAGTATACAATATAAGACCTACTTTACCGTATATATATATGGAACATGGACTAAAGTCTATACATTTAAATGCAATTAATAAAATTCTACGACGTAAAAGAAGCATAGAAGTGATAGAAATTTAATTTTTTTTTTAAATTTTCACTTTTAAAAAGAGTACCCACTTAATTGGTATTTTTTATTTTATTTTTTAGGTACTCAACTAGCTATTACAGTATTATAGCACAAACCGATAAATTATATTAATTCTTTTTCAATTTATAAAACGAAAAATAAATCACTACTGTAGTAGGTAACTTATAATACAAATATTCACATTTTTTTAAACATATTATCATCCTCTTAGGTAGTTAAACCAATATCAATAAATAAATAAAAATAAGATTTAATCTTATATTATATATTATTACACGCGCATAGTTATGTAAATATAAATTTTGCAGTCCGCTGGTAATATTTGAATCATCAGAATGTCTGTTATTCAGAAAAATAAAAATGTCTAATTTCTATATTGAATGGAAAGGTTGTTTTTATTTTATCTTAGATAATTTAACGTAAGAAAAATTAACAAAAATAAAAATATTTCGATTCTGGGAACTACCTATACTCAACATTTACTTTCCTACACGATATCGTATTACGTCAGAGTATAGTAAAATTGACTTCTACATTTTTCCAGTGCACTAACCAAGCAGCTTGTAACTTGTAAAATAACTATCGGTAATATTTTTTTATTGTCAATACCTATTGAATTACTACCTATAACGTGAAATACATTATTATTTGTTCAGCTAAATTTAAAACTATTTATCATATTTACACTGCGGGGAATATTATTAGGTACATAATATCAAATGCCTACTATAATGTGCCGAATATGTGTGTCTAGAAAGAGCCAGGTATGGAAAAACTCAACATATTTTATAATACATTTTTACAAAACACATTTTATCCTAGTTCAATTTTTCAATAAATAGGTAACCAAAATAGGTTAACGTGAGTGGAGTAAACGTACAAATCTTAAGTGCTACTAAGAAACAAAACATGCCAACAAAATAAAATCACGAGTATAGTTACTGATAAAAATATAATAATTATTCGTGGGGTTTAGTTTACATTAAATGTTATAAGTATATAAATGGAAGTTTTGAAAATAGATTATCGAAAACTTGTAAGCAAGTTTTAACACTAGTGGAATAAAAAATAAAATAAAATTGTAATATTATTCAAAATAAATTATTCAGGAAATCGCACAATTTAATCTAAAGTACAAACTTTTCGGAGTATAAATCATTTTACAAATAATATCTTATACAACAAAAATCTTTCAGAAATTTTAAATTCTTGGCAAAGCGAAAAATCTATTGGTTTTTGAATGATGCCGTTTTTTTAAAGTACTGTTCATGCACACTTCCGGATAAAATATGTACTCAATCATTTTTATCTTATGCATATATTATTTATAAATTGGTCAATATCTAATAATATTTAAAATAAATCATTTTTTAAAATGTCCAGCAGTTTTGTTATGTATGAGTATGACACGCTTTCTTCCACTTATCATGCTTTGGTAATTATTAGTTTTTACCTTATAAAACGTGATCTTAGATCAATGACCTTAGAATCAGTCATTCAAGAAAAATCGTCAATAATTTAATCTTTTTTATGAATATTTATTATTTTTTTAAATGTTTGTATGATTTTTTACAAAATTTTTTTTTGGGTATTATTTTAAAATCTTTCTACAATCAAACGAAGGCATATATACTTTTAAATTGATACCGTGTTACTCATCGATGTTACACTTGTTTAATAATTATTTATAACTAATCCATTTTTTCCGATTTTAATTATCAAAGATGATTCGCTAGATTATTAACCACCGTACTCGGGGTTTCTCTAGTGCATTCTACTACTTATATGATTCCAAAATTGTTTGTATCGGGTTTCTAATAAAAATCTTATAAAATTGAAACTATGTAGTCAATATAATATAATTAATATGCATCTATAATAATTTTCAAAAATATGTTTTTTTTTTTATCGATATTTAATTTAATAGGTACTTGAAAAACTATAAATAAAATTTTTAGAATCTCACACTTAATTGTTTTATATTATTTTTTAAGATGCTCTCAAGTAAGTAGGTACCTACTAAACTATTTATTACTATACGTAATTTTCAAAATATTATATTCACGTGTTTTTCAACACAATTTTATAGCGTTTACACGAATCACGGGTTCAAGTCTTCTATTTTTATAATATTATGGTAAATTACACTCGTATTTAGAGGAAAGAAAAAACTAATAGAGAAGAAAAACTATAGTGAGTTTTTAATATAATTAGTTTTCTTCCACAGTTTCGAGTGCCACGCCTGTGAGCTTTAGTAGGGCATAGACAGACAGAGTTAACAATATTATAACTGCTGTGTAATGGATGCAAGTATATTTTCATTTTATCCTTTGACTCACAGGGAGACATAAACAGTTAAAACGATTAAGTAGTATTATAGTACCCAAACCATATACGGTTGACGATGCGTTTTTGGTTTCATTAAAATAGGTATATCGTAAGATCATATAAGAGACACTGCAGCAGGCGTTACTCGAATATAGTAATATTTACAGGGCTTGAAATCGTTTTTAAATATGGATACAAATATAATGAGAAATCAAAAAAAAATCAACATTTATATTGAAATCGAAAAAATGTATAATCCATGGTAATTTTTATCAAAATAATAACGTTTTTTATTTTGTATATTATACAAATCATTTTAAAAATTAAAAAAAAAATTAATAGAAATTTAAAATTCAACAATAGCCAATTGAGAATAACATTACAGGTCTATAATATTTTTGTTCATCGGTAGGTACCTCCCAAAACTCGGTTGTCAATAATAATTGTTCGTTTTTTAAGGCCCCAAATACAGGTGTTTTCACGTAGGAAAAAATTAAAATCGTAAAAGTGATAAATGATAATATTTTAAACCGAAAAATATAATAATTTTATTATTTAAAACTGAAAACAAAAAAAAACTTATATCGATAACCAGCAGTATTGAAATTAAAGTAGACAAATATCATTTTGATTTTGAGTCGCGGATATTACAAAGACGGAATGACGACATGAAGCGAAAAAAATTGCGTATATAATTTATAGTAGCTATAGGTGCGGGTGCGACATGGTTTTCGCTTGCAGAACCTAACGAAGCTGACGGAAACCGTCGTTGTTCTCCCCCTATAATATTATAATATTATACGATCGCTAATATAAAGAGGGGTAGTTTCTCCTGGAAGGGAGGAGAGGTAGAGACCGGTAGGGGGCGGCTTACCCGCATATCCAAGAGTGTCTACGCCGAGGCGCGGCGCCGACCACGCCGGGCGACAGTAACACCACCGTCCCGCCGCAACCGCCGCCACCGCCGCCGTGGCCGCCTGCCCCGTCCCTGCTGTTGTACGTCGCGCGCTGCTTGGACGCCGGCTGCAGCGACGACAGGGTGGCCGCGGCCGCCTGAGCGATCGTCTGCTGCAGAGGATGGTCGTTGATGGCCAAGCTCACGCGCACCTCGGGCACCTTCAGGGCGGAGGCACCACCGCCACCGCCGCTGACACCGCCGTTCATCTTCGCCACGGATCGTCACCACCACATCTACCGCCGAGGCCTCCACCGACTCCGCGGCCGGCCACACCATGCACCGTAAAGGAGACCGAGTTCTTCGACGACCACAACGACGACGACGGATATTATAATTGAATTATGATATAATATTATATATTGTTATTAAAAAAATCGTGGACGTCCGAACAACCGATGATGGCGAAGACGAAGAGACTACGACGACGACGACGACGACGGAGTGATTACGGCGACGTTTGCCGGTCGAGTCGAACGCGGGACCGGTCGCGCGCGATGACGACCGTACGGCGTGCGGAACGTGACTGTGGCGGTGCCGCGCCGCCGCCGACGGGTCGAGAGCGCGCGCGAAAAGTCTCCGTCGGCGTCCCACTCCGCCGCCGCAACCGACGATGACGGTCATCAGCCGACGACGCCGCCGCCGCCGCCGCCGTGCGTTTGAAACCGTATAATACACGCGTCCGGCCCCCGCCGGCCCATAACAGTGTTTTTTATTATTATTGTTGTTATTATTACGTTTTCCTGAGGTTTGTTTTGATACGACACGTACCGGACTGGTAGGCGGTAACTACGAGGGAAATTTTTTTCGCCAAAGTGTAGGTATTATACCGGCTAGGTGAACTCGGCACGAGGACTTAAAAAAACAGTACGTATTTACCCATTTTTAGTTTTAGTTTTTTTCTTATGTAAAAAATACTCGCCGCTTTTATTAAAACATATTATTATTACCCAACATACTGCGTATGCATCTGCATACGAATTATTTATTAATACATAGATAGGTATAACGTTTTTTTAAAAAATATTTATCTCGTTATTTAAAGCAAAAATATTCGAAAAATCCAAAATTTGAACTTTGAGCTTCTCCTGTGTACGAGAAAAACTTGAAACATGAAGTTTTTAATCAGTTCTGCAGAAATAAATCGTCTCAATTCAGACGAAAATAAAATTTGTCGTTCAAATCCGTCGTATGTGTACCTCAGAAAGTGACGCGACGTCGCGTTATAGTGTATTTTTTTTTTCACAGCACGAATTCTGGCTGCTTCCGTTCCCCTTAATATTTTTTTATTATTCTTTCGTTTCGTTTCGTCCGACGAGTGATGACCGACGTCGTCACCGCCGCCGCCGCCGCCGCCTCGTTCGACCTTGCCTCGATCGCGCCCGGCGATTTACGAAAAAAAAAAAAATATATTTTTTTTTAATATCCTCTTACGCCTTCGAACTTAGGGAGGGGTGATGGCGACGGTGGAGTGGGAAGGAGACGACCGACGGAATCGCAATAATTGCTGTTAATATACTATAATATAACGCATTATGTATAATATTGTTGTAATATAATATTATTATAATATTATTGTATGGCGGCGCATAAAATAATAATACTATTACCATTGAGTACTCAATGCTATTACGTTATCGGAGTAGGTACTACAACGGTGTAGGTAGGTATTACTCGGAAGCGGAACAGTGGCGGCTATAACAGACTGCGGCGATAGCTGGTGTTTATGTTCTTATATTATTCTATCCGGACGTCGTATACAATACGATATTAGTATATCAATATTATACGTCGATAATAATAGTATTGCGGTCGGGATAAGATTTTTCACCGACGGTTTAATTATTTTATTTTGACTGTCATCGCCGTCGTGTTTGTCATACTATGTATTCTTTAAAGCTTGGTTACATATTAGAACATGATATTACACCAGGTACCTAATAGGTATGTAAACCGCGATGACATAAAATGGGTATATGGTATATCAGTGCAATTGGTCCACTACTATCAAAAACCAGGGAAGTAACTCTGCTGTATAGTTATAAGTGTATAGAGTGTCATCAAGTAGGTCGCTGTAATGGATGTGTTAAATTGATGTCCAAATGATTAGTCTTTACATACAAAAAACGATTCCAATCCTACCTATATTTCTAATTATATTTTATAATAATATATTTTTATTTATATATATATATATATATACATATATATATATTACTTACTATTTATAAATATTTTTTTTAATTGCACATTGTAATATAATCATTGTATAAGTGATTAGCTGTTATTAACTAAAAAGTCAATACAGATGTACCATATACCGATGTATTAGATGTGTACTTTAATTAAATATTAAACCGAATATTTTAACAGTAACCATCACCAAAGTAGAACCTTGCTAGACAAAGTGTTGACAAATAAAAATAAATAAATAAATAATTAAATAATAAAGACGATGAACTCAAATCATTATAATATATTCATAGCTCTGTTTAGTATCTAAGATATCAATTGAAAACAAGTATCTCATTAAAATTCACTTTAATATAGGTAGGTAGTCATTTTTTCCCAAAAAGTGTGAAAAACTCGTTTTTTTTTAATTATTATAAGTTCCGTTGTTTTTTTACCTCGGGCCAAGTGTAAACATATACAGCCAAAAAATCCAGAGACATTATAAAACGCTTAAAAATTAATTTACGAACGACATTAAAATTCTTTGAACGTTTTTGATGGATAATCATTTTTTTTTGGTTTGTTTTGTTTTTAAAAACTACCTCGAGTAATCTAGTGTATTGATAATATCGTGTATAATATGTATAGCTGTTTGCCTGTTTATCTATTGGGATGTATTCAATATTGAAGCATAGGGTGGTTGTGTCACTGAACGGTAGGTGGAAGGTTACACAAAAAAAAAAGTAAATGTCACTATTTTTTTTCTCGTTTAATAATTCAAATGCCAATAATTTATTATTTAACCTTGAGTTTAACCATTTTTCGAATAAAATAAAATGTTATAACAATACAGATAAAAATATAATTGTCACCCCAGTTTGACTTTAATACGGTTATTGGCAAAACATAAAATACAACATTTTTAACATTTGTAAAATAAAAAAATATTTATTCACTTTGTTATATTTTACACACTTGAAACATATATTATAGAACATAGAACTTAGCTACTTTTCTCTGAGAAACAATACCACTGAATTTGTACAAGCAAATCAATGCTATATAACTTATAATAATATTACTTTATTAGGTATACTACGTACCTATATAAAATAATTGAAGAATAAATATATTATAATATATATTATAAAGGTAGCTATTGTGGTGTGTATATTTTTTCATTGATGAAATGTGTTAATTTTAATTTTGAGCCCATAAAAAAACTTTAAGAATAAATAAAATATAGTATAATATTATAATATATTAATTATTCTTAAAGTTTTTTATGGGTTCAAAATTAACATATTTCATCAATGAAAAAATATACACACCGCAATAGCTACCTTTATAATATATATTATATTATATTTATTCTTCAATTATTTTATATACGTAATATACCTAATAAATATACGATAAGATACGTATTTAAAATGTAATTTATAAGTTAGGTATACAATTAATTTTTCCAAGTAACCTATTGGGGCATCAAAATATATTTAATAATACCTATAATTTAAATTGATGTTTATAAACGTTTTTTATGGTAAAACAAATAAAAAGAAACTTTAGTCTTGAGATCCTTAGAAATTCTAAATTTTAAAACAAACGAGAAGAAAGATAATAATATATAGACGTACTACAAGAAAATAAATAAAAATCTTGTACTGACTAATATGATTTTGTTTTACTTTTTATACATTTCATATTATATAATATTATAATAATTATAATGATTAAAAACGTTTTGTTTTTAATATTTTATTTAAATTTTGCTAAAGACAAAAATTTAAAACAATCATTTATCTTTTGATATTAAGTTTATGATTGAACAAAGACAAAACTGTAAGATATATATATTGTAAATTAATATTGTTCATAAAACGCAAATTAACTATTTTGAATTAAATTTAACTAGTTTTTATTTTAGTATAATATATTATAAAATAAAACTGGGAAAGTATGTCTGCTGTATAGTAGGTTCGAGTTTTGATACCTTGCCATTAGCTAGGTAGGTCACAGTGATGGATGTGTTAAATTTGAATTCAATGATAAATCATTGCATACGAAAAATGATTTTGAGCAGAGATAGTTGCGTCATCTTATATTTAATATAAATAATATATGAATTATGTAGGATCTATGTATTTAAATTTCAAGCTTTTTTACCAAAATAAATTGATTTTTATGAAATCGAAAAAAACATAAGTAAGTAAATCGAAATGTTCAAATATTTGAAATATTAATATTTATAAATTACATTTTAAATACGTATCTTATCGTATATTTATTAGGTATATTACGTATATAAAATAATTGAAGAATAAATATAATATAATATATATTATAAAGGTAGCTATTGTGGTGTGTATATTTTTTCATTGATGAAATATGTTAATTTTAATTTTGAACCCATAAAAAACTTTAAGAATAATTAATATATTATAATATTATACTATATTTTATTTATTCTTAAAGTTTTTTTATGGGCTCAAAATTAAAATTAACACATTTCATCAATGAAAAAATATACACACCACAATAGCTACCTTTATAATATATATTATATTATATTTATTCTTCAATTATTTTATATACGTAATATACCTAATAAATATACGATAAGATACGTATTTAAAATGTAATTTATAAGTTAGGTATACAATTAATTTTTCCAAGTAACCTATTGGGGCATCAAAATATATTTAATAATACCTATAATTTAAATTGATGTTTATAAACGTTTTTTATGGTAAAACAAATAAAAAGAAACTTTAGTCCTGAGATCCTTAGAAATTCTAAATTTTAAAACAAACGAGAAGAAAGATAATAATATATAGACGTACTACAAGAAAATAAATAAAAATCTTGTACTGACTAATATGATTTTGTTTTAATTTTTATACATTTCATATTATATAATATTATAATAATTATAATGATTAAAAACGTTTTGTTTTTCATATTTTATTTAAATTTTGCTAAAGACAAAAATTTAAAACAATCATTTATCTTTTGATATTAAGTTTATGATTGA